GATGACTTATTTTCTACAATGTTTGAAGAAGTCGAGTCCCACATTTGGGAACTCTCTAAAATAGTATTAAAAAATTGAAATGCTTCTTTAGGGTTTTTATTCATAAATTCTCCTTGGGCCATCATTTCAACAAATTGTCATATGCCAGATGGAAGTGAATCATAAAAGAAACCAGCTAAAGTCCAGTTTTCAAATGCATGATGTGGATAAGCTTGGAGAAGATCTTTAAATCTTTCCCAACATTGATAAAAAGTTTCTTTTTCTTTTACAGCAAAATTCATTATTTGGCGTCTTAATGCATTAGTACGATGTATAGGAAATTTTTTTTTAAAGAACTCAGTTTGTAAAGCTTGCCAATTCGTGATAGAATTTGCTTTTAAAGAGTTAAGCCATAGTTTAGCTTTATCTTTTAACGGGAAAGGAGAAAGTTTTAATTTAATCATTACAGACTTATCTTGCAAAGTTCCACAGACTTCTTCAAATTCTTTCATATGAACATAAGGATTTTCAGTTTCTAAACCATGGAACTGTGGTAGTAACTGTATAGTTTCTGGTTTAATATTAATATTTGGAGCGTCTGTTGGAAAAGCAAAACATGACAGGACATTAGTTCTTGTAGGATGTAGATATTCTCTTAATGGTCAAACATTTTGAACTACTTCCTGTTCTCTTTCTTCTTGATTCTTAGGTACGTTTTGTGCCATACTTAAGTTGAATGATTCTTGTGTAGACGTAGAAGAAAATGATGTAGGAGTTGACTGATTTTTAGAATCTACGGATGAATGAACAGACATAGACTATTAAAAACAAACAAACAAACTATAAACATATAAAACAAGTACACAAATATATTTTTTTTTTTTTTTTTCAAATTACTATAACTCTCCAGCAATGGCACCAAAAACTTGATTCACACTTTTTAGTGTGACTTAATTATATTATTATACACCCAAGTATAAGTGGTCAAATTATAGTTTTCTCGGTTTTAAGTCCAAGTATCGATCCCACGAAGAGTTTTTAGTAATTTAGACTATAAAATAAAATAAAAAAGTAATAGTGTTGTTTGAAGCAGAATATTATTTTATAGCTTGTGATGTGAGCTTAGATGATAGCTAGTTTAACTTAAATAAAGTGCATAAGTAAACAAATAAAGTGCGTAAGTAAATAAATCAAGTGCGTAAGTAAATACGTTAACAATAAGAATATAAAAGATACCCTTCAGTTTAAGGGTCCCATATGCATTATATTGGTTAGATACTAGAAATGCTACCGTACTAGGATTAACTTCTATTTTATTGGCAAGTCAACTAGTTGGTCTGATGTATATAAACCATAGCATAGTTGCTTGTTAGGCTAACTGAGGGTAATAAATCATAACACAGCCGTTTCGTAGGCTAACTGGTTATATCCACGTCAATTGATTAACCCAAGCAAACCAGAAGGACAAGCCATTCACGAGGAATACTAGAGTTATTCACTTGATCTCATGATTATAAGTGCATACATAATAAATCATAACACAACCATGTCTTAGGTTAACTGATGGTATTATAGCATAACACAACAACTTCTTAGGAAAACTGGTTATAAACATACCAATTGACTAATTCAAGTAAACTAGAAGGTTGTGCCATTCATGAGGAATACTTGAATAACCCAATAGGTCATCTGTGATATATATATATACCAGTTAAACATCCTCAGCATTCCGGTGGAGGACAAGCCATACCGGTAGGAACGCCATGGTTGTTAGACTAGTAATATAGTTATATATAGTATTTAAATAACCCTAATAACCCAGAAGGACAAGCCATTCATGAGGATCATTTAGGTTCTGTACCACACATCAGTAGAACATCCTCAGCATTCCGGTGGAGGACAAGCCATACCGGTAGGAACGTCGTGGTTGTTTAACCGGCGGGTCTTATGATGCATTGATGACATAATTCAAGGCATAGCACCGAAATTATGCATATCACTAGATCACGCATTAAGCATATAATACATAAATAAATAAAATATAAATAAGACATCAACATTTCTATAATCTAAACAATAATATACATATGTTCCCCTCGCACGGGAGGGTATAAACGACTACTCACACTCCATTGCTACAGACAAGCAAGGAGTGTGGGTAAAATTCATTACAACTAAAAATAAAACTTCTTTCACAAGGAACAATTGAAACACAACCACCTTTATTATCATTCAAGACAAAAAAAGTGGCAGCAGTTCAACTATCCGAATAGAAAGATACTACAGAAATGTAGAAATACAGAGTAACTATAAAAGTGTATCATGGACCAGCTTTCAAAGGCTTTTTCTTTCTCTATCTTTTTCTCTCTTTGCTATCTTTGCTCTCTTTGATTGCTGACTGGCTTTTGGTAGGGAGGAGCTGGTCTTGGAATGATATGTCTTGAAGTAAGAAATGAAGACCCCGATTTATAGGGGAGGATGAAAGTTTCGGCCAAGAGGGGGGGTCCTAACCCCCACCTCCACCTTCCAAAATGTTAAGCCTTGTAGTGGTGGTTGGTGTCGTGCTTTGGGCTTGTTAAGTGTCGTCTTCTGATTTGCCCATGTTTCTTTATTACACCTTAGTCCTTCATAGTTTCAAGTCTTGCAAATTTGCCCTGTATTTTCTGGTATTCCTGTATTTGACCTTGAAACTTAAACATAAAGTATTTAAAAATTTAATTTACGCACAAACTATAATTCATAATGTTTAGTTGTTTTATCTTACAAACTTGATTACTTAATTATTTTAATTCACACACTAATTAGGGTTAATCAACTGCATTATTGGATCAGCTGCTGACTAACGGCATAGCACTCTGCTAGACTAGCAGCAAGTCACTGCCATAGATTAGCCAACCACAACAGACAATTCAACTTCAAGTGAAGATAGGTAAATCATAAATGTTTTATTTTTACTTCAATTGCTACATATTATGCTGTTTGATTTGCAATTTCAAGCAATGCACACCTTTTATGTTTTGGCTAGTATTCCACTTGTAATAAAGCTTCATTATGGTGATGTTGTTGTACTAGTGATGTTGCTCAGTTCAAGTTTGACATAGTTTCAGCACTTATGCAAAATACGCATATTTGAAGCGGAGCCGCTCCGGCCCAGTAAGCAGATATTTGGAGCCAAGTTTGGCTTGCAAAGTTCTACAAGATGACATCTCTTTTGTCCTGTTTATATGAGTCAAATTCATATGAAGCTTCTTGGGTATGGTGACTGTAGTTGCATTCCTTAATGGCACATTAGCTATACTGCCAAGTGTAGAGCAAAGAAGCTCAAATCTCTCCCACAAAGGTATTTTTATCAATTGGGTCTCTCTCTAAAATCTTCACTTTGTTAATTTAGGCATTGGGTGAGTGGTTTATTGCATCTTGTTTAATTTTTTTTGACTGTGTTTGTTGAAGAACTGGTTAGTGACTTCTATCTTGTAGTCAATTTTATTGACTTGGTTTTATTTTCAATCACTCCACCTGTACATATTTAGGAAGGTGTATTAGTGGATGATGTTGTTTTGTTACCTTAATTTTAATGGGTTTTGGTTCTAATCTTTCCCCCTTGTACCCTGCATTTAGATTGAGAGTTAAGTTGGTTTATATTTTATTTGTGTGTATTTTGTATGATGAGATTGTGTTTTTTTTTTGATACTTGGATCAGATCACAGATGATGAACCCATTGCAATCTAAGAGAATGTTTGTAATTTGAAGAAGCAGGAAGCTAATTGGATCTTCAAAATTGGTGTTATAGAAGAAGTAGACAGGTTGGAGGTAAGAATGAAGTTTTTAACTTAGGATTCTGGGGTGTTTGAAATTAGTGTACTTCCCAGGTTTTTTCCTGTTATTGATTGGTTCTTGGTGGACCATTTTTGAAATACTATGTACATAAGTTATTGAGTCGGGTGTTGATAATACACTGATGGAATCTTAGAAAAGCTTACAGTGTTTAAACCAGAAAAAAGGACTGTGTTCCTTTAGAGGTGTTGTTGTATATGTTGCAACTCTGATGCTTAATTTACTAAATAAGGATTGTGTTCCATTCAGAAAGTGTTGTTGCATGTGTTGCAACTCTGATGCTTAATTCACTGATTTTGGAGTAGCTTTTGTTATTTAATGCTCTCTGTTTTTGACCATTGGTTTTACTCATCTTCGTATTGTTGAACAAGACTCTGGAGGACAATGCAATTTGGAATGCAAATCCATTGACTGGCTTGTCAAGAGGTGAGATCTTTGTGATCTTATTGTTTTCTTGGTGCAAAATTGATATTTATTTTGCATATATTTATCAAGATGATCTAAAGTTATTTGAACTTATCAAATGGCTAGAATCTGAAACTGAAATAGCATATACTTCTTTTAGATGCTTTTCATTAGTTAGTTTCTACTTACTATATGGCTTCTCTCTACTCTTGAGATGGGTAGGTTTTTACATTCCTATGAAAGGTTGCAAGCAAACTTAGATTGGATGCAAATTATTGAAAAAAATGCTAGTGCCTGGCTATATCCGATCTAGATTGCATGATCTGAAACAATTTGGCAACATAAATTTTTTATTCCCCATATTCTCTACATAACAAAATTCAAAGTATTATTAATTGGGATTTCCTGAAATTATAATTCTCTTTTAGAGATTACAATTTGATAGCACTTGCATATATCCTTAAGGAAAACAATGATGGATTTTGATGTAGTATATAACTGAGTATATGCAAATGAGCCCATCCTCATTGTGTATAATAGCGTAATAATATCCAGCTCTTTTTATTGAAGTAGAGAGGTATCCCTGTGCTTTACATTTGAAGGTGTTATAAAGTCAAAACGATGTTTTTAGCCACTACAATATGCTGTCTCTTGACAAAACAAACTTCTTGCAGAATTGGCTCTCAAAATAAGTTGCTAAGGAAAATTTTAAATTCTCTTTGACTTCTAACGTACTTTATTGTATTCATGACTATGTCAGGCACTTCGATGCATTGGTAACCTGAGTGTGAATCACCCCAAAAATCTTGATGGCCTTGCAAGCAAAGTTCTTGGGGAGGAGCCAAATGAAGAGGCTGCTCTCAATTCTATTATTCGAATCATATTGTGAACTTCTAGCAAGCAAGAATTCATAGTTGCTGACTATGTTTTCAAGAGCTTTTGTGAGGTTGGTATCACTCATTTGATATATCAGCAAGTTGTTCGATTTTGTTGGGATTTCCATAGGTAGTCTACACTCGAACACAAGGTTGAATTTCTCCCACACAGGCAATTGCTTATTAATTGCTTGCTACCAAAAAAGTTATGTATTGTTTACTTACTCTTTGCATTTTGCTTATGCTATTGTCTTCAAATCAAACTTTCTTGATCCACCACATTTGAAGTAGAAAAATTTTGATGGTCAAACAATGTTAGCATCCACATTAATCCCTCAGTAGCAGTCAATGACACATAGTCCACTTGAGGAGGATGTGAAGATGTCCTTTGGAAGGTTTGTTTGTTCTCCTTGCATTTTAATGCGGTATTTTACGTAGTAGATTTAGGGAATATTGGCCTTTTGTGATGTATTAACTTCTTGGTTGAACTTTGATTTGTAAGAAAAGCTTGGATTTTCTGGTGCTCATAATTAAATCTTCTAGTAATCTATTCTCTTGGCAGCATGCTGATTAGTAGTTAAAATTAGCATATTACTATGTTCTTTTAACGACTAATTATACTTTGATGGAGTTTAAATGATGACATTTCAAGCCATAAATTATACAAGGGACTAAAGGCAATGAGTATCAAACTTTCATGCAACACCAGCATATTCTGGAGAAAAATTGAAAAAGCTTGGATCAAGCCAAGAACGTTCGAATGCCAACTCACATTTGAACGTCAATTTCAATTGATTGAAGACCAGACTACTGAGACATGGTGTGTTGCAGCCAAGAAGGAAGACTCTGAGGTACTTGAGTACCACGTTCGAACGCCAACTCACATTCGAATGTCAACTTGAATTGATTGAAGACCAGATTGATGAGTGCAAAGCGCCAAGACGTGCATGGAGTGTGGAAATAGGTTTTCACAGAAGACCAAAAGCCACTTGAGTGAGAAGGTCAGGCCCCATCTGGCATTCAAATGTCCATAAAGCAAAGATAGAAGAAACGTTCGAATGCCGCACAACGTTCGAACGTGCATAAGGGAAAAACAGATACAACGTTCGAACGCCAACTCACGTTCAAACGTTCTTCACAGGCAGGCTGTAGAGTAGTTAGCTTTTCACTTGGACTTGGGTGGCATACACTATTCCTTCACACTCTCTTGTCTCCCATTTCTTCCTCTTTGCCTATAAATACTCCCCTTGGAGGAGCCTTTGGGAGGATGGTTTTTTTTTTTTTTTGTAGAAGACTAGAACTTGGTTTGTAAGGAGTAGTCTACACCAAGAACTAGTAAAAGAGCTAGATGGTGGCTTAGACACCCACTCATGTAGCTAGTCTTAGATGTATGTTATATGTGCTTGTATCAAGAGAGCTAGTTCATCTTTTGGTTGAGGAAGCAACCCTCCATTTGTTGGTTGAGGAAGCAACCCTCCAAAAGTGACTAGCTTTCTTCTACTTTCATTTTTCATGTCTTTCACTTCCATTGCTTGAGTTTAATTCTTTTTTAAAGGAGTGAAACTCTTCCACTTTTCTAGAGCTTTACCAAAGCCGTGAAGGGTGGGACGTAATTTACTCATTCTTCGTTGAAGATCGGCTCTTTGTTTATTGTGCTTTTACATTGTAACTCCTCTATTTGGAGGAATGAGTATCACTCACTTTTCTAGCTTTACCAAAGCCATGAAGAGTGAGTAGTTCCTCATTCACTCTTCAATAAGAGGTGATGAATATGTATAAATTATCTGGAAGTTATATTTGTACATCTCCGTTATGCTTTAATGCTTTATATTCCACTTGATTAGTGAACGATTGAATGCATTTAGCAAAGATAAGGTTTTTGTATAACCGTGGGTTCTTTCTATGCCACGGATGACTCTTACATAAAAAGACCCATTGGTTCAAGGCAAGTACCCTAGCTAGATCTTCGTGACCACATTTCAATCTTCACAATTATTGTGATTTATCTAAAGAATGAACTATTAATGTCATGGTTGGATGCCTTGCAGAAACACTTACTTGTTTGTAGACGGGTTGAGTCTCAGCACAGACAATTCTTGTAAACTTCTAGAAAGGCATCAGAACCATGAGTTTAATTCTCACAGTCCATCTTTATCTTCCGATTAACTTACTGTTGATACGGGAAGTTAATTGAGTTATAAAGCATAAGTATAATAAACATGTTTGATCCTTGAACTAAAGGGTGACTGTTTACATTTGAATTTATCTTACATTTTGTCTAGAAAACTCTTGGAAAGAATCTTATATTCTATTCAAAAAATCTCATAACTTCAAACTCTCAAGGTTTCCAATTACTTGGTCTTTCACTTCAAAACTCCAATCATAGTTCCCTATGGATTCGACTTCAGACTTAACGAGATTATTACTACAGCTTGACCGCCTGCACTTAGGTGTACACATTACGGATAAAGTCAAGTTTTTTTCCGCCATTACCAGGGAACCATAAAAGGTGTTAAAGGTAAAAGGTAAAAAGACCTCTCTTTTTGTATAGATATTTACTTCACTGTGTATAAATTTGTTTTAATTATTTTTATGTCTGAGGACGCTACTCACTATCAAAATTTGCCGTCAGAATCTTCTGGGTCTGTGAATCAACCAGAACCACCTTCACCTAGATCAGTAGTAGACTCTTGTGAAAGTAGAATGACAAATGATGAGAGACGAGGAGAAATTCCTGTGAGAGAGGGGGAAGTGCCTAACATTCGAACTCTACGGGATTACTTAAATCCCACAAGAAATAGTGTCCCCTCTTGTTTTATCTTTCTTGAAGATGCACCCCTCTTTACTGTATAGACGGAGACAGTTCAACTACTCCCTCAATTCCATGGACTTGAAACAGAAAAATCATATCTACACATAAAAGAGTTTGAGGAAGTATGTGGAACGTTTCAAGACAACGCTGAGCTAGCCAAAATAAAACCTTTTTCATTTTCTCTAAAGGATAAAGCTAAAAAATGTCTAAATTCTTTAAAAGCTCTTTCAATACCTGATTGGCGGGAACTACAAAATGAATTTTTCAGAAAATTTTTCCCTCTACACCGCACTAATGCACTGAAAAGACAAATCATGAATTTTTCAGTCAAAGAAGGAGAAATCTTTTACCAAAGTTGGGAGAGATTCAAGGATCTACTCCAGTCCTGCCCACACTATGCTTTTGAGAATTAGACTTTGGTAGGATTCTTTTAGGACTCCCTACCCACAAGACTACATCAGTTTGTCGAAATGATAGCTCAAGGAGAATTCATGTGTAAAAGTCCGGAGGAGGCATTCAATTTTTTTGACACTATATCTGACAGTTCTCAGATGTGGGACTTAGCTTCCCCTACCATTGTTGAAAGCAAACCGTCTACTTCCCAAGGGGGTAAGTATGTCTTAAGAGATGATGATGACCTAAGAGCTAAAAAGTCCACTCTATCTCAAAAGCTTGAAGTTTTAGAGATGAAAAAGGTTCACCAAGTTGATATTAGCTCTCCCACAAAACAAGTGTGTGGGATCTGTGCGCTAATGGGACACCCTACTGGGGAGTGTTCTACCATTCCAGCATTCAAAGAAATTCAGTTAGAGCAAACAAATTCAATTTCTAACTTCAACAAGCCTTACTCTAACCCATACTCAGAAACATACAATCCAGGATGACGGAACCATCCAAATTTCAGTTGGAGAAACACACAACCAACTCCCATGAACCAACAACAAGGATCGCACTCACCACCTCAAGGACCTTCCACATATCAACCATACCAACCACCACAAAAGAAGAACCTTCTAGATACCCTGAATCAGTTTATGCAAAGTTAAATGAACTATAATAATAGTTCCACTCAAGCTTTTACTGATTTCAAAACCTAGACCACTCAATCTTTCGAGGACCTTAAAAGCTATATCCAAAGGTTGACCCAATCCATGACCACACATGAGAAGGGTAAGTTTCCTGCCCAACCAAAATCACCACAAGGCTAATTCCAGGTGAAAAATCCTAAAATCATGGAAACTCCACAAGGCCAAGCCCAAGTTGTCACTACACTGAGAAGTGGCAAGGTGATTGACAAGAAAATTAGAGACGTGCTAATTTCCAAGTCAAAATCTGAGTCAATCCTAGTCAACTCACCAATTGAGCCTGAACTAGTTGAGCTTGAACCAGAAGAACCTGAGCCTATGATTGAACAAGAGCTAGAACCTTTAGAGGAAAAAGGACCTTCATGTCCTATTCCTGCTCCTTTTCCTCATAGACTCAAAACTGTATAGAAGTTGAATAATCAGCCTGAAATTTATGAGCTTTTTAAGCAAGTAAAAATCAACATCCCACTTCTACATGCAATCAAACAGGTTCCATCTTATGCCAAGTTTTTGAAAGACTTATGCACAGTCAAAAGAAGCCAGAATGTTCAAAAAAGAGCTTTCCTAACAGAACAAGCCCGTGCCCTACTTCAACACAAAACCCCTCCAAAATACAAAGATTCAAGGTGTCCAACTGTGTCATGTGTCATTGGAAACTTCAGAATCAAACAAACACTGTTAGACCTTGGAGCTAGTGTCAATTTGCTCCCTTTTTCCGTGTACCAGGAGTTGGGTCTAGGTGAACTCAAACCCACTTATGTCACACTCCAGTTGGTGGATAGATCTATAAAAATCCCTAGGGGTATTGTTGAAGATGCACTTATCTAAGTGAACAACTTTGTGTTCCCTGTTGATGTCATCATTCTAGACACTCAGCCAGCAAAGCATTCAAAGAACCCAATTTTCGTAATTCTTGGTCGACCCTTCCTAGCAACTTCAAATGCACTAAACAATTGCAGGAATAAGGTCATGATATTAATCTTTGGGAGTATGAATCTTGAGCTAAATATTTTCAATGTTGCCAAACACCCAAGAGAGGACAAAGAAGAGAGAGAAATAAATTCCATTGAATCGTTGGTTCAGGAACATCTGAATAACACATACTGTAAAAACTGAATCTTCTCTGTCATAATCCATTACATCTGAGACAATAAATGATGATCCAAAGAATTGCCCCACTCATGCTGTTGAGACATGTACCCCCAAATTCGAGGAACTTTCACCAAGTGGC